GTAAGTTTTGTATTATATTTTCTCAAAGGGGTTTCTCATATTCCTTGATCTAAATTTATTCCAGATATCAAATAACCTTTCAATATGTACAGCCAAAGAGTAGGAAATACTACAACAGCTTTATGTTACCCTTAAAGAGTATTGCCTCAAACCCATCTGCAAAGGCAAGTTTTTCTACATAAAGCCTGCAAAGCATTTCTGATTTTCAGGTGTTTGCAGAATTAATTTGCAGAACCTCCATTATACAAGATGCCTAAAAATAGGGTAAAGTCTACCAATATGCTGGTAGTATTATACAGTAATTTCTGAAATGCAAATACTTAGAAGGTATCTCACAATGGTTTTTCTAAGCATCCAACTAAAATGGAGGGAAAAGTGGCTGTATCTGGTAACTGCACCTTAGTTCATTTCTGTTGCATATTCAGAAGCATATAATTGCTAAAGGCATTATCTGTTGTCTGCACAAAGGGAACTCTGTTACTTGCAAATCTTGCAAATCACAATTCCTGAGCCAAATTCAACACACCGTGATGCTGTAAGAGCATTTGCAAGTTTTGACCATCTCATCCATTAGAAAACATAAAGATCAACTTGAGTATCTAGGCTGAAGCACAGCCACGCTTGGGCTTAGTTATTTTATTCAGAACTTCAGTACATCAAATGCAGACATCTAAATCTCAAGTAGTCTGTAAGTACCACAATGGTTGAAACCACAAAATGATTTATTTTTAAAACGCAGACTTAGTTTAACCCAACCAATCATAGAATTAAAAAATATTATTTATCTCCAGAAATGTGTTTAACGGGAAAAATGGAGAAGTGGTTGTGAAATACTTCTGGCCACCAGCAGTAAAGCTGACTACAAATGCCTGGCTGCTTAAGATCTATTTTAATATTCTTGGCAAATATTTGCAGTTCTTGTTAATAGGAGTAGGAACCTTTGAGGTTGCTCAAATTCCAGACCAATATTTCTTAAACCAAAAGATTTATGGCTCTACATGGTAACATATGTGATGAAAATAACTTGTCTCATAGCTAAGAATATGCAAACCATCTAGACAGGACCAGGTTGAAAGCTACTTAATGGAGCACACAGGAAACCTAACACCTGGCAACTCTGCAGTGCATACTGTTCAGGATTTTGAGATATGGTGACTGGCACTGAAAAAAAGTGACAGCTTGAAATACTGGACAAATTTACAATGTCCTCAAATTTTTGCTGGACATAATCCCAATAGGTTACAATATTTCTTTCAGGTTTCCCTGGTTTCTTTCAGGTGTTCTGTGTCATAGGAGCAATAAACATTAAGGTAAGAGAAAGGAAAAGGCATCTGAAAAGCATTCTGAGAGGAAAACCCTCAGCTCCTTTCACTGCTTAGGCTTACAATGAGAATTCCTAGGCCAGGAAAGCACTGGTAGAGAAAGTTTTCTGCAATAGCAATATTTTAAAAGCCATCTGTTAAGTGGTCTAGCACAGCTTTTATGTCAGTAAATGAGTGTCAACAGATGTGCTTTTTAACTGAAAGATTTCCTAAACCCCAGTTTACTATGCTATACTGACCAGCAATATCAAAAGGTGCCAGCAGAATTATGAAACCCAGGAGAGGCTAATCTAACAGCAACAAAAAAAATCACCTACCTACAATTTCCTTTTCCAGGAGGTGTAGTAAAACAGGCCCACTCTGCATTCTTTACGCAGAAAATATTTTCTCTATATTTTCCAGAAGAAATGCCTCTATCCTTAGAATTCTGAGGGTTGAGGGGGTTAGCGCACCCACCCCCCACTTATGCATTACTCCCCTCTGCTCTTGTGGATGAGGGAAAACCAGAAATCCTTAGTGTTTCTCTGTTGCCCAGTGGCACTGCAAAAGCATTATCGCTATTGGTAGTAACAGCCCATGGGCCTTAGGCTAACTTTACCATACATTACTGTTGCAAGACTCTAGTCTCAGCCTATAAGGCTTGTTGTGAGTTTAGTATGAGCTGTTTCTTCTTACAATGTAGAGTTTAAGTTTGGAATAATAGCAAACATCCTGAAAGTACAGACACAGGACTATAAACAACTCACCAATGGTCCATTACTAGTCACTGAAGAAGTTTAAACTTTGAGAGCTGGGAGGACTGCTTTATGCATAACCAGAAAAGGAGCTAAGCATGAAAAGTCCAGATGAACAACAGGCTAAGGCACCTGCTATGGCTTGGAAAACAACATTCTCGGGCATTGCATAGTCATCCAGGGTGTAGATGACAAGGACTAAGAACAGTCTAGAAATACAAAACTTCTTATGAAAAACCAACATTTTGAATGCAGGTGGTAAAATCATCACAGGAATCCTCACCACAAGACCACTGTGGGACTGATGCAGCTACAAGCATGCATCTTGCTGTCCTTGCCTTCTTGAAGGCCTCTTTCCCTCTCTGTTTCAATAGACCCAGTTTTCCCTCTCTTCCACCTGCCTAATCCTTTGAGGATCTTTTGGCCTGTCAGCTAATCATCCAGGGCTGTCTATAGCTTTTATAGCTTTTGGCTAGTTCTTTTTCTCTAAAGATAGTTCAAAAGAACATGTGCACATTGCCTTAATTCTTCTGATAAACTTATGAAAGAAAATAAGAAATAAAGTGGTACATTTACCCTTTTCTCTAGAGGCATGTTTATAGTAAGCTGTCATTCTTAGCAATTAAAATTATTTACTTAAATCCAATTGTTAGCTAAAAATGTTTAAAAGGTAAATATGCAAGCAATCTAGGATTCAGAGACTTTTTTTTGTGAAAGAAATTGACCTTGAATAGGATGCATAATCCCACTTATAAGAGCAGTTCATAACTGCTACAGGGTAAAAGACCATCATCATTGCAACATCTGGCAGGAGCATGAGGCCTTGAGAAAGGCATATATCCATGTGACCCGTATCCATTGTAGGTAGCAAGTCTAGAATAAGTGAGTCTATAGAGAAAATCCAGAAGTACTCTGGTACTGTGCTGGAGCGGAAATAGAAGTCTGCGGGGAAACCATAAGAAACAGTCACCAGAAAGTTGTTGGCTTTTGTAATCAAGGGATGTCATTTAGAAAAGCAGGAACACTGGCAAGAGTACTGGTTTGGGTACACCTGCCTAAAAAGAAAAAACAGTCCTCTTAGGAAGCAAATCCAGGGGGATAGCAAAAAGGACTATTATAAGAAAAGCTACAGATGTAAAGCAGAAAAAAGTTAAAAGATCAACTTGTCTGCCCTGTTCTTTACGTATCTGGAAAACAAAATGGTAACACAAAACATAGTCAAAGCACTTGCATTTTCGAAGTAATATAAAGGCAAGGCACAGGCAAGGAAGCATAAACGGCTGAAGTGTAAAAATTAATTTACATTTAGCAAGGAACACAAGTAGCAACACAGAAATACTTCATATTAAAAGTGAGAAGAAAGAAAATATAGGACCTTAATGGGAAAGAAGAACAAACTCTGCAGAATATTGAAACAGTCCCTTTTGTCTACTGCTTTCATAAAAATGGTGACATCTGATCACAAACTGATATGAATTAAGGCCTGAGGGTAAGTTAAATTTAATGCATCCTTAGAGAGTTAGATGAACAATGCATGAATTATCAGTCATCATTTTTGCAAACTGATTATCTTGGAGGTTAGAGAATACCAGAGGGCTGAAATGGAGAAAATGAAAATATATCTTTTAAAAGGGCCAAAAAAGATGATCCAGGAAATCTGTATGTCAGTGAAATTTATATTCCTAAATAAGCATTGGAACAAATTATTAAAAAGAATTTATAAGCATCTAGAAGATATGAAAGCTGTAAAACAAGAGCTAACATGAATTTGTCAATAACGTGCTTCTGTCACAATAATACAATTTCTTCCTTTAACTGAACAGCTTGCCTAATGGTCACAGCAACAGAAATATTAACTCTCAACTGTAGTAAAGCTTATCAAAATGTTTTTGTGCTATCCCCACTGGAAATTTAATTATATCAGGGCAACGTTGTTCAAAACTAAACTCAGTGTCCATTTAAATATTTTATTATCAAGGTGGAAAACAAATGATCACAATTCATTTAACCGATAGCTTAGAAAGTAAAATGGAATATACCCATATGGAATTTGAAAATGCCAAGTTACAAAAGCCATTTGTAAGCCAAAAATCAGAAGTCAGAATCATCTTGGTAACTGGAGAAATGGTTTAAAAATCAACAAATACATAGAAGTGCAAAATAATGTAAGAAATTAAATGGAGAAACACAAAGGGGGAAAAGAAGAGCTAGGCAGCAATACAGTGGGAACAGATGTGGTGACTATAATTATTGCAAACTAAATATATATCAACCCTGTGATACTGTAGGGGAAAAAAAAAAAAAAAAAGCATTTTCAAATTTCATCAGTCTAATAAGATATTAACTGTTCTTATAAAATTTGCCTTGTTGTTACTGTTAAAAGATAGAACACTTAAATTAAGGACCAAATTTTCACAAATACATTCTTACACAACTAGAAAGTGCATATCAAGCATGGGGAACAACAAACATTTTTCTGGAGAAATCTATTTACTTGTCTGTAGCATCCCTGTTAGCTCTAATACCTATGTACGTTACATATAAACAGTAAATCACTGTTTTGAAAATCTGTCCCTGGATGGTCATAAGAAAATCCTTTGAAATTAAATTTTCTCTACATTTTCCTCAGCCACAACCATTTCAGTATAATATTCAATAATTTAATATTTGAATATACTACTTCAATATTCACAGTTTAAGTTTCTTAATGTCCAATTTAGGTTCCTGCTTCTCACATTCTCTATCATGTTTTAATGGTTGTAGCAAGCAAGATCAGGAACACTCCTTACGTGTTCAACTAAATAAGTGTTGACATCAAAATCGAAACTCGAAATTAATATACCAGATACTAACTGACATAAGAGAAATGTACTCTAAGAGACTTTTCTCAAACCAAGATATATCAATTGATAGATAGTAGCACATAATCCTGTTAGAGTCTTACCATTAATTACTGGGGTATAAACAACAATTCCAACTAAGTTAGGATCAGATACAGTTGTGTCCAGAATAAGGCCACCAATACTGAAAAACAAAGTACAAATATTTAGAATAAGGCAAGCAGGTTCATTAACTAGTATTTTAAAACTTTTTTAGCAATCTGGTTTAGACATCTTCAAGCCACAAGTTTCTTATCAGTTCATCCTTCTCCCTGACTCATTACCTTAAGGGTTCTCAGCTACAGACTAACCACTTCCTTCATTTGGCAGGGCACGCTTCTGCTCAGTCATCGCCACAGGCTACTGCTGGCTCCCCCACTTTTTCCCACCTGTGACTTAACTTTGTAACTTCCTCATTTGGGAATATTAAAGTTTATTCACACTCTACATTCTAGAAGCTCCTTAAATGTTTCTTTTAAGTACAATCAGGTGTTAAAGAAGATATACAGAGAAACACTATGTCTGTCAGGATGAAGCAAAATAAATAGACTTACCTGCTTATAACCATGGCAGTTATAACAGGCTCCCATCCTGAATGGAGAACAGTTCTGGTAGCTGGGTGTTTGGCAGCTATGACAATCCCCATCGGAGTCAGAGCCAAAAAAAAGGCACCAACCAAAGGAGATACATAGTAATATGTCTCTAAAATAATAGTAAAAAAAAAAAAACAACAACAAAAAACACAACCTGTTTTACTTTCAAGACTTTCCTATAGGTTTTTCCTTATTTAGAAATCTAAAATATAATCTACATCATGCAACTGAGGAATTTGAATAGTCTTTCTCACTACTGAACCTAAAGTTTCAACTACAGCACTAAACAGTATGGTCAACATCTGCCATCTGCGATCACTGTCTCCCATCTTCTCAAAGACAGAACTATCTGTACAAAAAAGGAATTTTGAAGAGGATTTTTGATGATGTTTTATGATGAAATAAGGATGCTGAATATTTATGATGAATAAAGATGTGGAATATAAAACATTATTTTGCAACATATCTCCAAAAAAGAGAAACTTAATGTATAGAAAATGCATTTTCTCTATACACAAATTCATAGCATATGTACAGCCCCTTCTTTCCAAAGCACAGATAATATGGTAATCTTCCCAGAAACAGCATATCTAAAATGATGCAAACACAATGTGTAATATTGCAGCATTTATACCAGTAGTTCAGTTGTTTTATAACCAGTCTGAGTCTGAAAATTCACAGCCACAATTCTGCTGCTTGCACCTATCCATCAGAATTGCATTAGATTTCATAGGAACACAACTGCAAACACCCACGAGCATCATCATAAAGCTGAGCTTGTAAGGCAAACAGCTGCCTGCACAGAAAGAATACTATTTTTTTTGGATTACTTGGTTTTATAATCCCATCCACACAGAAGCTATTACAGTGATCCAATACTTCCTAATTCAACAGTGAAGTAAATGATGGAAAATGTATTATAATAGTAAATAATATATAATATATATATATATATATATGAACTATGCAAACATTCCGCCTTTACATATATTTAGTTCTATGAGAAATGTGGTCATGTATTTAATGTTAAATACAGTTTGTCTAAAGTTTCAGAATTTAGACAAGCCTTAATACAACATGTATTTTAAATTAACAAGTTGAAGTAGTTAGTGTAGAACACACAAACACTTTATGAAAGAATAATTTATTTAGTATATAAAAACGTATTCTCATCCACATATTATGGCTAATTACAAAGGCTGTAAATTCAAGCAATTACTGCTTGGATGTTATCTTGTGGAGCTAAGATTACACCTGGGAGAACTGCTGTAGAGTTTTTAGAAGTCACTATCCTTCTGCATTGACCAGTAACAACCTCTGCAGCAGAGCCAGCAGAAAAGATAGTAAGATACATTTCCCTGGGTAAGCTAAACGTAGAAAGCTGTTAGAATGAGACAAAGCCCAAAAGAGAAGTAATTTTTTTCCCTTTCCTTATCTAACTACAGTATATTATCTCCTTCTTCCTTTGTGGTGCCTTTTTTTTTCCCCCTTCTTTCTCCTCTTTCTGTGAGCTAAGAGGTAGGCCTAATGTAAAGAGGTCTTACTCAAAAAAGTACACAGAGTACAAAATACAAAACTATAATCATCAAATAAAGGTATTATCAAACAATAAAAAAGACAAAAATGTATGGATATAAAGTTTTTGAACTATTTCCTGCCCAGGTGAATACATCCTTCCCTCCACTTACAATGAAGAAGAAATCCCTGTGTGCACTAAAATTCATCACATGGAAAGTCAGCATTCATTCTATGTCTATTTGTTAAAAATTCTGAAAAACTTCTCTCCATTCCCCCTCTTTCTTTTCCTCCCCCCCCCCAAGATATAAATCATAGTGTATCCCTGTTAAATTTTTCTCCATCTGTTCCTTTCATGTGGAACCAAGGTGAGGCATTAGCATGTACCAGGCACCCAGTAACTGATTTAAAGGTCAGAATGAAAGAATAGCTCTAAAGTAGTATATTTAGTAAAACAAAAAAGTGCACAAAATAAGTTCCAAGTCTTTGCCACATTTTTGGACAGGCTGACAATTTTATTAAAAGGTAAAATCTGCTGGTCAGCAAAGATCCTTTGTTGCAAACACCAAACAGCAAAATACAGATGCAATGGTAAGCATTACCCTAATTAATCGCTAATTTTTGAAATTATTTCACATGTACATCAACAATTAGCCCACTGTACAAGAAAGGAAATTAAAGTTCAAAAAAGTATGACTTTTACAATAATTTATTTTTTAATCCCACTAGCAATGAAATAACTCATTAGAACGTGTTCATGAAAAAAGGGAGAGTAGTTAACTATCTGCATCAGTCTCTAAGCTTGGAGTGCTAGTCCAAGGATTACAAAGAACATTAATAAGAAAAGTATATCATATCATTCTTTTCTTTTGGGGAAAAAAAAAAAAAAAAAAAAGGTTGATAAAACTGAAATCAGTTCAGTAAATGAACAATGAATACTAACAAAGAATTATTTAATAGGTAACTTCTAAATAAATAAGTGTATAAAATATAAAATATACATACACATGTCATCCTGCCACAGAAATGTTTTGTAAGAAGTTTAAAAAAAAAAAAGAAAAAAGAAAATATGAGAAGACAGTCTCGCTAGTGTATAATGATTCATGAATTATAACCAAAAGAAATACAATTTATATCTGCAGTGCAACAGGACCATTTCAGAAGTCAGCAAGCAGCCAGAAGCAAGGGCAGCTTTACAACTTAGAAAACATGACTAACCCATGGCTGATTATCAAACCTTTCAGGAGTTGAATTCAGCATATTTTAAGTTAGTTAACAGCAGCAACAGGAAAAAAGGAAATAGGCATCCATAAAATGACACAAGCTGTCATTTTTACAGTAAACGCAGCAAAAGTTAGATGAACTTCCAAGAGGCTGAATATGTGTTTTATAGCAATAAAACCAAAATGCATAGTAATCATGACAATGACATGAAACAAAATACAACCAGTGGGTCGTTTTTTGCTTGGTTGGCTTTTTTTGTCTGTTTTATTGTGGGTTTTTTTTACACATTAAGGTAGGACTTTCAACACTACTCAGCAATGGCTTAGTTTTGTTCCTCTTAGTCAACAGCAAGTGAGAGGAATTAATTTTTTTGGCCTTATTGTTCAACATTTTAGTAATTATAAATGTCTTAATTTCACCATGGAGAAAAGTACCGTGAAAACTTACTATATAGGTTTTATACCTGAGCCCTTTAGACTTTTTAGTCCTTTTTATGGGGTTGGACGTAAAATGGATTAGAAAATCTACCCCATTGTTGCAATACTGCCAAAAGTTTCTTCTTGAAAAGAAAGCAAGTCAGGAGTGGTTCTCAGGAGTGGGCGATCTCCAAGGACAGGACACAGTCAGAGCTTAGATCCTTTTTAAAAAAACCCTTCTGCTAAGACAATATACTAGCACTTTACTGAGATTCTCTATTCTGAAGTGCTAGACGGAATGATAAATAAACAAATAAATAGGCCACCAACCATCCCCATGCTGCTAAACAAAGAGGAAATCAGGTATATATATATTAATCTGTTTACAAGTTTTAGACCAGACAACAGAAATTCACCCTGCCCAGGTTTTTTAAGGCAAAGATGATGCAAAAATTCAGCAAGGCAGTTGATTCCTACCAGAACTTCAAATTCTACTGTCTATCAAGCTGAATTTAAAAGAGAAATATAGAAGTAATTAATAGTTTAGAATCATACTACAGAATCTGTCATAAGTGAGCAATGGTAGACTCCACTTACCTACATGACCAGCAAAACTACTCAGCTACAGTCTAACTCTTGCGAATGGAGTGCAGGACCTTTTATTTTTTATCTATGAGAGACTCTACTTGTAGAACACCTTACTATAAGAATCTAAAAAGATGTCAACTTTGAGATGCATCTTTTAAGGAAGCATGGGCTGTCTTCATATTTAATTCACAGAGGAAGAAAATGTATTCTGTAATAGCTGGAGAATGGGAAGAGGGAATAAATGACTCCTCTTTTAGGGCTCACTTCAGGCCATTTTTGAGATTTATAGCATGTAGCTTATATGGCAAAAGGAATCTCGCTCAACTTGACTCTGCTATAGAATTTGTACCATGCCACAGTGGAAGATAACTCCTACAAGCACTCAACCCTTCAATGAACTTCTGACTATGACCCTAAATTAAAAAGGGAAGGAGGTTAGAGGAAAGACACAAGGTTCTCAACCAAGTCCTTCCTGATCTTCATTTACGTTAAGCCCTCATCCCTTTAGTAAACAGTGATATAAATTAGTCTTCTGGTTTAGAGAACTCATATGCTTAATGGTTTACTCCTTGTACAAGGTATCTACTGTGACATACAGTTCAGTGCAGTGCCACTGAAAACAATGCAACCTGTAGTAGGAATTAGAGGTAAATTGGAAAACTACTACTTCAGAGTACCTGGTAAGAACCTTAAAATAGTAATGCAAATCACACAATTTGTCTTCTTAACCCGGATCCAACACGCACAAGAGATAAACACGTATATATAAGCTATGTTCTGTGAGGAAAAAAAGGAAAGCTTTAAACAAAATCTTCATATCATTACTGACAAGTGACAAGCAACACGGACCTCCGCATTTAATATACTGGATCTTCCTATTCCAGAGCATTCCCCTTGTTCTGGTCCAGGAACCAGAGCTAAGTCCCAGCGACGGTCCCGCGGAGCCCTCTAGTGCTCTCCCCAGCTATCTACCAACGATTCACAGACAGCTCTTTTTAGGGAGTTAAGATAGAACTGTTAATCTTTTACTATTTAAATCCCCATGTTTGATAGTTTTGCCATAATTTTTAAAGCACTCAGACGAACTTTTAAGAAATTCTATATATGATGGTGGCCAAACAAGATGTTTGATTTGGCCCTAGCCTAGGTTAGAATGCTACAGTCCTTTCCCCTGCCTTTCCTAGGTACGTCATGAAGTATCCTCTCAAACCAAAAGCTGAGCACAGGTGTTGCAGCTCCATCACAGGAAAGCAGAAAGCTTGTACATAAATAATTTCCTCCCTCCAGTCTTGTTATCTGAAAACAACTATTACCCTGCAGAAAGGAGCCAGAAACTTAGACTTTGTTTCAGTACATTTGAGTAGTTAAGCTAATAAAACATAGGGGAAAATAGTTAATTCAGAATACAGTTCAGAAGTGAATCCCACTTGCTTCATTACTAGCCCATAAACTGTGGGTTTCTTTATAACATTCCCACTGAGCTTGTTTCTCCAGCATTGAGAAAGCAGGGAAACAACAGAAGGAACATAAGAACATCTGTGCTGGGTGAGGCCAAAAGTCTCATCTAGTCCAGTATCCTGTGCCTGACTATGGTCACCAGTTCAGTCTTGTGCAAAGAAGAGAAGAAAATGACAAGTTTACAGTGATGCTTCTTTCAGTGTGCTCTGCCAACTTCTGCAGCTGTTTGCCTCGGGGATTTCATCACCCAAGTTTCTGTCTGCCTCTGTCTGTTCAGTACTCCTCAATGGCTTCTTCGCTGATTAATTTATCCAAATAGTTTTCTAAAAGCATCATGGCAGTAAGTTCCATATCACAATGCTGTACTGTGTAAAAAGTTTGCTTTAACTTTTTTTTAACCTGCTGTCTAATCATTTTCTGAATGCCTTTTACCTGCCATTCACATTTTATATACACTCTCTCCTGAGCTGAAGCTACTCCATACTTTTATTCCTTGTTACTATTTCATAGTTCAAACACATGCATCTTGGAAACCACAGATTTCCAAGGGCTTTGTGGTATGTTCTTATTTTAGAACGACCCTTTGTTTCCTAAGAGAAAGAAATACAAAGACACTGAAAAAAATATGAAGAGCAGAAGCAGTCGTTTTAGCAATAACTAGATAATTACATATACCACCAAAAGAGAAGTATTTCCAGGAGACCATATAGAAAGAAAATTGGGAGTAACTCTTGGAAGCATATTTGAGTGCACTAATCCTTCCCCCTACATCTGCAGATCGTGTGGGATCTGCTTTTCAACTGCAGTGGCTGACTAAAATGTGAATGGCCATGACAGCTGTAGAAGTAGCAAAGGATCAGTTCAAACTGGCTCCACTTAATTTTTATTCCTCTGAAATATATTAGGCCATCTGTAACTAAACATGTAAATTTCTGGAAATATGTGAAAGGAAGAAAGAAGTCCAAGTTTATTTCCCCATCTTGTTTCTAGGGTTGAGTGGTTTTTGTTTGGGTTTTTTTTAAGATTAAAAAAGAAAAAAAAAAAAGCATGTTTTAGGAGAAACTGAAATATCAGTAGTAATTAGTTACTCCTTTAAAAAAAAAAAAGAAACATATCTGTAATGTAGATAAAGCATAGGAATCAATACTATGTATAGTGAAAAAATAATATATGTTGTTTATTTACAAATGACAAATCCAACTACTGTTAAAATACCAGCATATGTAACTAAGTTTTGCCTGTGGCCACAATTGGAAAAAAAAAAAAAAGGAAAAAAAGGAAAAGGAAGTTGTTTAAAAACAGTAAAACTCAGTATCAATGATGTTCTGTCTGACTCATATGGGTTCAACTTTGGCAGTTATATAGAGAACATTACAATGCAAATAAATAAGAAATTAATATTTGTAGAGTAAAGATTTAGGAAACAAATGAAAAATCAATGGCATATTCATTACAATGTAGTTTACAAAGCAAAATTTAAAAACCAAAAATGAAGTTTGACTTACAGAGCATAAGTTTCTAAGAAACTTAATTTGAAATACTTACCACTTAATATTTAAAGCCTGAAGTCTAGGTTTAATTATTTTAAATCAGACACAGTCCTAACTAGAATAAATTTTAATCATAACCGTAGCCCCGAATCTAATCTGTGTTAACCTAAATCTGCCAACTTCTTCCAGCTCCACAGCTACCCAGATAGGTAGTATATGCCAGTAGTCCTAGCTAACTCCTTTCCATCTAGCTGGTGTACCAACTTCTCTGGCACATCACTGACAAGCATAAACCGTGACTGTGAAGTGAATTCCAATCAAACATATCAATTGTTCAACTCCTTCCCCTCAGTGCAAGAGGAGAACAATTCAAAGGGGCTCTGGGAAGCAAATATTTGATTTAGGGTTGGGCATTCAAGAAAACTTGAATGAAGACGGCTTCGCTCTCCTCCAAGAAAGCAGAGTAAATTCACCAACTAGTTTCTAGTTCACATGTAGACTGACTGTGATAGTGTGAGAGTTTTTCAGATATTAGTAGATTGTGCCAAGATTGTGATTAGTAACTTCTATCATCTTAAAAAGAGGAAAAAAAGAAAAAAAAAAAAGATCACGGCATAATGTTGCAACCCAAGCTTTATCATTCAACAGCATAAATGTTGACGAAAAGTCAGTCAAACTAAAAGGTTTTCTGAACCTCTCCCTCCCTGCCTTCTCCATGCCTTCCTAACCCAGAAGAGGTTCCTAGGAGACATGCACACATAGAAACATACTTACCAAGGCAAGTATAAAGACCCTGACTTATCCATGCGAGTATAGCAAGAGTGATAAGATCTCCAAAACTTGCTGCTATAGGAGTGGCAACATTGTCAGGATTAATACCAGTCTTCTTTGATCCAACAATAACTCCAACCATTATTATTCCTAGATGCAACAAAGAAGACAGTACAGTAACCATAACTACTGTTGTAAATCCACAGAATATTGCAAGGTAATGGCCATTTCATAAATAAGTTCATAACTTCATAAATAACTTCATAAATAAGAAGTCAGTGCTTTTGTCCCAGAATGATTATTCTTCCCACCTGACTAATGTCTGTATTTTGAAGCTTAGCTATTTTTAAAAATGAGGTTATATATTAAAAAAATACAGTGATTACACACAAAAAAATCAAGATCCATCTACACAATGATCTATTTTGCTTATGATTAGAATTAGCACTACTGAAATTGTAAATCAGCCATTTCCTGAAGAAAGAAAATATGCAGTGTATTAGTTCTACACCCTAGCAACTTTCACTGACAAATTTAAATCACACTAGGCTGGAAACAACATAAGATTAAATACTTTGACATCCGATAATGTGCAAGATTTCCAGCCATGAACTTAGTACCAAATGTCAAGAAGAATGTAATAAATTAAAAACATCACAGCATATAAAAATGTTACTTGCTACACAGTTAAAAAATTTTAAATTAGGGATGTTTATTTTTTTTTTCTATAAACAGCAACACTAATTTTTTAAGAAGCATTTCCCTGCAGAATGCAGGTGGCTACTAAAAATAAGATTCACATTGTTATTAAGAGTCTTCTTTGGCATAACCTGAGTGACTTCCCTCTCATCATATAATACATATATGAGCTTCAACTGTGTATGCTATCCTTTATGTTACTTCAAAGGATTTTTGAAATATAGGTATTATAATTTTCATGTGTTTTAGCAATATTATGTATTGTAGGCTACATTAGGAGTAAACCTTTCAGAGAAGCTGCTTAAAGAGTTACACTCCATGAAACTCTCAAAAGAAAGAATCAAAATGATCCTGTAGGAGGACAATATTTCAAAAGTATCCATTTCATGTGTATGAGGATGAAGCTTAGAAAATAGTTTCCTGTGCTGGCACATCACCAGGCAACAACAGAAGTTTCCTCTTCATGTCCAAATTATATGTGAGAAGTGAAAAAAATGCACTCATGCTCCCCGGTTCTCTCACTGCTCTTAATTCTGCACATGATCAAACTCAATGGCTTTGTAGTCACTAAAAAAATGTGTGGTCTTAATTTCATGCAAAACTTTTAACAATTTTGTAATTTTCACATAAGTAAGCATATCAAATTAATAAAAACAAGAAGTTAAACATTTTACTTGACTAACTATTGTTAAGATTACTGACCATGTATTTTCATTAACAATGTGACACAAGTAGAGGTACTTTTCCCCCCACCTCACGTCCATTAAGTACCACTTTTTACGGTTAAATGTTTCCTGACAATTGTGAAGAGAAGATTAAATTCATCATGCCATATGGCTTCAGACAAACATTAGCACTGTTTGTAGAGAGGGACTTGAACTTGGCTCAAACCCTTCACATAACAAGCCAATTTGTTCACTTCAGATACAAAGCAGCGCACAAACTAACATATAAACAGCATGGGCAACAAGGAACTTATTAGCTGAGCTAATATCCGGGATCATTTGAGTTTAATTACAAATAAGTTTTACCTGTTTAGCACTAAGAATATATTTTGTACATTAATGAATGTAGAAAGCAGGGGAAAAAGGTTCTTCATTGTATTAGGTAAAATCTAAACCCATACTTTTTGGTTTAGATATGCTCAATAAGTCATACAAATCAAAACCTTTTCAAAGACTATGACAGGAGAGGAATGCAATCTACAGGCTTATATGGAAATTGTAAAAGGGTATCCTATCCTCAGCTGTGTTTCAGATGTATTACACCTCACTGGATTTAAACTTTTAAAGAATAGCAACATAATATACATTCAGTATCCACAGAAAACTAAATAACCGTAAAAAGCAACATATATATTCCTTTTACCTTGTAAAAGAGAAGCTATGAAGGCAGTTGCTACACTGCTAGAACACAGGAGGACTGAATGATCAAAGCGGTATTTGCCCTCTGGAATCCAGCCCAATATAACTGCTGCCACTGCTGCCAGAAAACCAACTACTGTTGCCTGAACCTAGAAAAGAAAAATAAGGTAAACAATTCTTAAAATAATTGATAGGCTTAAGAGGACTGTAAAATAATTTTCTGTTATTCTTTCTTCCTATCTACATTTATTTGCAAGGTATAAAGAAAGCATGCTCATCCATTTTGTAGAGATAATGATAACCTTGAATGATCAAGAAGAAAAAAACTTATGCCAGCAGAAAATGCTTTACCAGCATTTCAGAGACTCAAGAATAACAAAATCAGGGAAAAGAGCTGAGGATTTATCAGAAGCTAAAGAGGCTCCTAAGCCACTTAAATCAGTGAAGTCATGGCATAAACATTTCACCTATTTTTTGAGCATGTTGTACTATAACATATGAACATGAAATAGTTCTTAATCTTAAGAAATAGTTACTTTTGAGAACAAGCACTCCTTTCCTCAAATGACCCAGCTATTTAAAATACTGTTTATTATCCAAAAGCTGTATCACATACTTTCTTTAAACATTGAATCCAATGCAAATACAGTACTGAAAACATTTGAGGGTTCAAATTTAAGAGGTTTTGCCAAATCTGAAAGTTTTCTCTAATCATCCTCAGATCCTGTCTCAGAAAAATTAAAAAGGAAATATCCTTGGTATAGTCACAAAGAATATTTTACCCCTTCTTCTGATAAATATAAGCTCATGCCGTTTTAGAGAACTACCTGTTCAAAAAAAATTGCCATGCAAGCATTCTGTGTTGGGTATAAGCCAGTGTAATAGAGCTAGTTTCCCATTAACACTGTTCACCTCCACACTTACCAATGTTAGTGATGAACTTTTTCAATAACTTCACTCGCCTATAAGAGTTAATCAAATAAATCCACTATACTTACCTGTTTTAAGGCCAAATTGCCTATTATTAGGTTCCATTTCTCAATGGGAGAATCCATTTTACCAATATTTACCTGTCAAAATTATAAAAGAATTTCAGACATTTGAGTTTTAAAATGTATTACTTGAAAATGCACTATCAAGGCAGAAACCCACAAATAATTCAACTCATACAAAAAAAAGAGACATCGTGAAAGCAATTTAAAACAAAGCTATACTTTTTCCAACTCAAGCATCACTGATCACTGCTGATTTTAAATGGCACTTAGAGTATCTATCCAAAAGTAGCTAAACTTGATGCAGTTTTACATAGTAACTTATCTAACATTCGCTTACTGTGCGAGGTGTACTAGTCACATCCAGGAACATCCAAGCAGTGATTAGACCAGTGGCTGGAAGGGAAACCTGTCAGCGTTCAGTCATTTTACACTGAGCTTGTTTCTATGGTTCTTAAATTCTATGAGCCAACAGAAAAGTGTGTGAATACATGTGTGCGTGGACACACACACTCTCATGCAAGGGTGTTAATTGATTGCAGTGAAACTACCTGCATAGAGAAACTGTAAGTCTTATGGAAGATCAGAAACCACATCTAATACTGCTCAGTATTCTAACTTTTCATTTATACAATACAGCGAGAGATTTACGATGCTGTAAATGATCTAAGTCCAGTCCTAAGACAGTAGCTGGAAAGACAGCAAATAAATTATTCTAAGAAATGAGAAAGTACATAATATTTTATAATGTATTTCCTAATTTTACTTTTTTTTTTGAGTTAGATGACAAGATATGAAGAACAGTACATACCACTGCAGTATGACTGTTTATAGAAGTTCCTTTTTGAGAAAACTTAACTATTTTTTACTTGTTGAGCATAACTTTTAGTGGTTTTCCCCACAGAATCCTAATTTATAAGATAACACTTCTCAAAACACAGCAAGTCTGAATGTTTATATTTTTCATCTTTTGATAATGTCTTTCCAGTTGGTTTTACTTCCATTTATTTTCTATTTTGTGATGGTAGTGACTTGCAAGGAACAAAGTATTAAAAGAAATGTTAACTTGATCTCAATCTATGCTATAAATATTTTACAGTGTTCAAAGTACAATCAGACTTCCACAAATACATGCATTATGTTTAAATATGACAGTAATATTTAAGGAAGAACAGACAAGAATCCCCTTTGAATCCTTCTTAGATATATATGCTAAATGAACGTAATGGCAGGCTATGGAGAGCTTCACGCTTTTACTCCTTTGAAGAAGTTTTGGAAAAGTATCAAAAAATCTCTGTTAAAACAGTAGTCTTGCAAAATGCTTAATCCAGCCTAAAAGTGAGCTGCTGCCAAATGACATAGTTCTTCTCTCCCCTACTATCAGCTACACATTCACGTTTTCTTTCCTGAACCAGATCTACCAACTCCGTCAGTGAGTTCATGACAACATAAATTTGCTTGCTGGTTTGATGGAAAACACTTTTTTTCAGGGAGAAAAATGGTCATCTTCTACAATTATCTGATCCACCACAAGCAACCATGTAACCATGCACAAATGATCTTGGGGTTTGGAATGGAGAAAAAGAGCAAGACCACTCTTTTCAGCTGCAGGTGTTCCATAAGGTATGATCAAGTTTTCTGTGATATTGTGGAACAGAATTACCTAAACAAAAGGTTTGTACAGTCATATTGCTAATGTCTAACCCTGGTAACAGTCAAAAAAAGAGTCTGCATAAGTTGATAGGGATGACTGGATCAATGGTGTTCTGGTGGTGGGTTTTTGTTTTTTATTTTACTTCCTCTTAAAAAACAAAAAAGGAATAGGGAGAATAGGCAACAGTGTGAACCAAGACAATGAGAGTGTCCCAAACTACAGAATATAAATATTGTGCTTGAATGGGCAGTTGACCTAAGTACACCTCAGACAGTTATGCCAGCACAGCAAGTGGGTGGAGGGAGAAGGCCTTACATTAACACCAAAAAAAAGTATGAGTTATGCCTTGAAGTAGATTAAAAACACAGTCTTGAAACAGATTTAATGAAATGACTGATTCTAAAATGGATGGAAAATTGTGAATGACCAGTAAGAAGCTGCTAAAGTAGAAATTTGGTTAACAAGATGAACGAAGGCAATCAGACAACACTCAAAAAATGGATAAAAGAAACTTGCTAACAAGACATTATTTTTTGGCTGACTACATAATTAAAATGAAGTAAAGTTAATTAGTTTACAGCCCCGAAGGCATAGACATATCTACAAATTCAGATGCAATTATAAGCTGACTGAGCAAGAAGGGTATGAATTAGCTCCAGTGATGAACTCATGATAGAAATTTCCTCCTCAAAAGGTAAAACTATTCACAGGGGCATAGTCCTGCATCTACTGTAAAGACAGTATGTGGGGGGAGCCAGCTAGTGCAAATTTAGGTCAGAGAAGGGAAGATTAATCATATAACTGCCTCCAAGTAACTGTTTAGTTATTCTCTGAATTAATATACTCATGTTTTCACCAAGGACAAGAAGGACAAGACCTAAGGTTGGATGGTTAAAGAGAGTAGGGGTCAATGAAATCAACGTGAGGAATGCAAAGGTGGGAATAACCTCTTTTTATAGAGGTCTGAGAGAACTGGCATGTAAATTGCAGGTCTAGTAGTAAGCTTTTTGATTAAACTTTCCAGAAAGCAATGATACAATATGACAGCCCAGGCTGCCACCTGTAAGAAGTTATATGTAACATGTAACAGGTTTCCATAGGTTTTTGCTTCTTTTTGGGGGGTGTTTTAACTAACAATTAGAAACATTACAGAGTTCTTGTGTATTTGTTTGCCTTTGCAGTAACACTATGGGGGACGGGGCTGCTATCTACCAGCTTGCAGACCTGTGCACATTGCAACTGATTGTTAAGTGCAAAAAGACACATAAGAAAAAGTTGGAAAGTTCCCTGCAAGACAAAGGCCTCTTTTTTTTTTTTTCCCCTGTTTTTTGACATATAAAAACTAAATATAGTCTTGTTAGCATTATCTTGATAATGAATTATCTATACTGTTCTTATTTTGTTCTATTAAACCTCCACTACATTGTGCACATACACATACACACACACACACTCTACATCTACTGATGAGTTCTTCACCAGCTAGAACAAATTAGAGCCACCAGTGGCAAAAGAGAGAACCTTCACCGAACCATGACAAGCCTCTACCTGCTCCCTGTGAAGGATGTCCAATGAACTTACAGTACGACTAAAGAAGTCCCAGAAAGTATTTCAATCCCCTGTATAACTCAGTCCAGGGTCTGTCATGATTCTTGAAGAAAACAGGTCATACGAGGAAATTAGAGGCATTAGAAAACAAACGAATATCAAAAAAAAAACCCACAAGTCTATTGATGCAAAGCTGGGAAGTAGCTCGGCACTAGTGGTGCTATGACTGTGACTTTGGGCAATGCCAAAGAAATTGGAACTCCCGCACACCACATAGCGCTGTCTGAAGAATGTACACTTCACCGACCTCTTCTCGGGCAGTTAATTAGCCTTCATGGTAGAAGCATGTGAACATTGCTGGAGAACCTGATTTGGCCAAGACAGACATATGACAGTTTCTGGTACTGGTGTGAAAGAAAGCCTTCTTGGCATGGTTGAATAAATACTTCTGAAGGATCGGCTGATTTATGTCTGCGTGAGACTTAATGACATTGGTAAGTGGGACTGGTAACACTCCTCAAACTAAGCTCTCAGAATGGACTGTTTGAGCTTGGGACTTGATAGGAGCTTGGGCTTCAAACAGTCAAAGTAGCTCTGAAAATTCACATTCAAGACATCTACAGATCATGTTATCACACATTTAGTAGGATTCTCTTACAAATGCCTTTTTGGACTGAGAGGAAGTGGCTTGAACCTCATGATGCCAACTTTAGTTTACCACTGAACATGCAGCCAGTGCTGTGGAAACTCCAGTATCCTTTTTCTGTGTGTGAGGGGGATCAGTTCCTTGACTTCTGGTAACAGTTATAATAACAGATAATATGAACTAAAGGTCAGGATTTCCAGTGCAGAAAAAGGGTCTGCATGACCCTTTTTGCAAATGTCCCCTAAGTGCTATGAGGTTTGCAAATAAGATGACATTCCTGAGGATGAGGAAATCGGCCATTGATTAGCCCAGAGAAGTTCTATAGTTGTGATCTGGCAAAGGTCATAAACTCAACTGAAACAAAGAATTAAAGACCCTATTAACTGGAGCTGAATTGATGGAGTTGGTTCTGACCAGGTTTTTTTAAGCCTTTAGTAAGGCACTGGTAGATCGTGGACTTGGTGTATTTTTCACTATGCAATACAAGCATTCAGTTCTCAGGCTGTGAACTGTACCAGTCAGGAACAAATTAAGTAACAGGTCAACACAAAAAAAAAAAAAAAAAAAAAAAAAAAAGGAAA